CTTACATCTTACTGGTATGTTGAACATTTGTTGTTCACTGATAAAAACTGAACACAATGTCACTTACCGGCTCCAGGCAAGAACTGTCACTGCATGTAAGTTTTTATTGTTTTATGAGTGATGCTTGACTCGTATCGAGAAATCCACGAAGTGTTTGGCGGTGTCATGCAGTTCCAACCTGGAGCCAGGAAGTGACACGTACATTCAGATTTATCAATAAACGCGCTTTACAAAACGGATAACGACTTGACTGTGCTGACGTCTTCGTATCATGTTTTTTGTTTTTTTCCCCTGACTAATGACAGACAAAGCCCAACACCATTCTGAAATAAGAATCAACAATTTTCACTATTTCATCACAGACCAGAATATTTCCTTATCACTTTGTCGTCAAACATTTGTAGTTTACGTTAAAAACCTCGGGACAGGAGACAACAGGCAAAGCGATTGGTTAAATTATTTTTAACGTAGGCCGTATGTATTTCAAAAAGCAGGTAAGTCGACAATAATTTTGACCCAATTCTGAGTTCAAACGGATCTTATTTTCGATTGTTTTATTTACCCTTACAAACACGCACAAAACAAAAAAAGAATATTTTTTTTGTACAGTACAGTCTAATTATGCCCCTCCATTCCCACTACGACAGACAGGGGAAGCAAATTAAGCTTAATTTTTTCTCCTGTAGGTTCATAAAAAACAAGATGTCAGTTTTAGGTTGGCATATAAATTTAACTGCTGTCTTTGAAATTTGAATGTTCACATTTGGGCTGAGATGAAAATAAATTGTTTACCGCTACTCCAATGTTCTAAGAAATGTAAAAAGCTTCTGGATAATTAGCACTGGAATTGAATGTGCCAAGAACGCAGGACCATGACACAAATGAAACATCGTTCTAACCGGCTGGACATTCATTAAAACAGAAATTCACAACCCGAGGCCCGCCGATATATCTTGCTCTCATCGTCATACTTTGTTGATGTCATCAGTATATGACAGGAAAAGCTGAATGAGGGACTTCTAGTCAATACCTAGAACGCGTCTTAATGATAAGCATTGGAGAAATGCACTGGAAAATCGCAACAGAAATTAGAACTTAAAAGTTGATTTTTGTTAAAAAAATGTTTAGTAGCCCCAATTTAGTACAAATTTCACGTTTCCATATCCCCGCAGCCTGAGAATTGATAAGAGGGGACCAAATATGATCCCAGGCCTGAGACCCTCATCTCATAATATTTAGTCTTTGTCTTAGAATAATAGTGGTTTCAAACTCCTGTACTATAGGAATTTAATACTAGGTAAATGGTTTAACAGTAAGCAACTTCAAAATATGGCCAGCACAACAACCCAGAAGACAGAAATCTTCA